GGATTTTTTTTTCCCTTCTTTGGTGATCTGAGAGTTTTCTTACTGTCCCCAAGTGCCAGTGAGTCAGCCATAAAGCTCATTCAGGAAAGTCCGGAGGAATCTTTCTCCTCCGTCAGGTCCCATCTGGGCAGGGCCAGGTGACACCCAGTGACACAGTCGAGGTTGGGGGAGGAAAACCAGGCACGCTCCACCAGCCGCTTGTCGCTGCCACCCCCGCCTGCGTTTGTCATCCGTTCCCAGGGCACAGAGCCATCTCGGCCCGGGCTGGTAGGCAGATCAGTGACCCCAGGGCTCCCCCAGCCTGACTCAGCGCAGCCCTGGCCCTCTCTGGGGGAACGTGAGTCACTTCTTCAACCCTGGAATGTTTCTCTTTGTGTGGAAAGAAGGGGAACGGAATGGGGGTGGGGATAGCCCCACTTGGGGCTCGTTTCCCAGGCCACAGAGGGAGGGGCTCCAGGCGACTGTTGGAGGGGGCAGCCGGACCCAGTTAGTAAACTGCTGAACTGAGCAAGTGGAAGGTCCCTCCCCTTGACCAAGCCTGATCCCTTTCCTCTGCCCCACCCAGCACCCTCAGTTCAGTTCAGTTCAGTCGCTCGGTCGTGTCCGACTCTGCAACCCCGTGAACCGAAGCACGCCAGGCCTCCCTGTCCATCACCAACTCCCGGAGTCCACCCAAACTCCTGTCCATTGTGTTGGTGATGCCATCTGACCATCTCATCCTCTGTCATCCCCTTCTCCTACTGCCTTCAATCGTTCCCAGCATCAGGGTCTTTGCCAAGGAGTTGGCTCTTTGCATCAGGTGGCCAAAGTATTGGAGTTTCAGCTTCAGCATCATTCCTTCCAATGAACATTCAGGACTGATTTCCTTTGGGGCATGCTACTCCTTTCTATCCTTTGTGAAGTGAGTGAAGTGAAAGTCACTCAGTCATGTCCAACTCTTTGCGACCCCGTGAACTATACAGACAGTGGAATTCTCCAGGCCAGAATACTGGAGTGGGTAGCCTTTTCCTCCTCCAGGGGATCTTCCCAACCCAGGCATGGAACTCAGGTCTTAACCACTCTTTAACTTGTCTAGGTTAAGAAGGTATCTGGGGATGGGAGATGTCAATTAGGATTGACTGTTCTGCGGATTTGAAAACCTGACTTCAGCAAGGGTGAGAGGTGTGATGAATTCCATCCGTTAGTGGTGACTGCCAGGGCGTGGGGACAGGGGTGCCGCTTTGCTGGAGAGGAACTGGGAGGCCTGGGTTTGCCCTTCCCCTCTTGCCCAGATTCCCCGTTATTTGCTAGGTGACCTTACAAAAATCCTTTTCCTTCTTTGAGACACTTTTCTCATCTGTAACACAGGGCAAACAATTACCACCCACAGGTGTTGAAAGATAAATGAGGATGCATCTGCAGAGCAGCCTCATTTCCTTTGCATCCTAACTCTGATGTCACTTTCTCAGAGACCCCTTCCTGGCCTCACTCCTGAAAATTGTCCCTCCCTTCGTTTTCTGTCCATTTCCCTGCGTGATTTTTCTCATCAGCTCTCACTACAGTCCAACACACTGCCTATTTTTAATTCATTTTCTTTCCTCCTCTCACTAACCCATAAGGATTTCTGTGGGTCTTGTTCCCTGGTTTAGCCACTTTCGAACGGGGCTGCCATGTGGTAGGCGCATAAACATTTGTAAAAGAACGAGTAAGTGAAAAAGCGAGTGAAAAAATGAACAAAGTCATGTGAGCCCGGGGCACAGCGCATAGGCGTTCGTAGGGCCTAGGTTCCTCTTCGTCCTTCTCCAGCTGCGTTATTCTGGACAGCTGAGTCCTTCCTCCCCACTCTCTCCAGGTCAGCTCATCCACTTTTTAAAAAATTGTTTGGCTTCTCTGAGTCTTAGTTGCGGCATGTGGGATCTGGTCCCCTGATCAGGGATGGAAGCTGGGCCCCCTGCATGGAGAGCTTGGAGTCTTAGCCACTGGACCACCAGGGGAGTCCCCTGCTCACCCACTTTTGAGGGTTCATACTAGTGCATGAGATTGCCCTGGGGAATATAGTGGGGGGCAGTTATAATAAAATTAAAAGTTACTGGGGGAGGTGGGAAGGAGGTTCAGGAGGGAAGGGTATATATATATATATATATATACATATGCTTACGGCGGATTCACGTTCTAGAGCAGAACCAACACAACATTGTAAAGCAGCTATCCTCCAACTAAAAATAATAAATAAATAAAAGGCACTGTTTTGGAGTCGGATGCAGAAGGTACATGCATTTTAAAGATTTTTTTTTTTTAAAGAAGCTTCAGTGAAGACTTTCCTCCATGTCCTCAGACCTCCCTGGCTCCAGGCTGTCTCTGGGCGCCTTCGGGAAGGTGTGAGGAGGCTTGGTTTGGGAAATGACCCCAATCTGGAATCCCCACGGCCTGCCCGCCCTCCCTTCTGAGCCCCTGGCCGGGATTCCGGCAAACGTGCATGGTTTCTGCAGGGCACACACCCCAGCGTGTCTCATCCAAGGCCGCGGCCGATGCCCTTCCTAAGCTGTTTCTTTTTTTCCAGGAGAGTCAGCCCTGGGACCTGGCACCCTGAAACCCCCTTTCTTTAAATAAGCGTTTTGTTTTGGAATAATTTGGGCCTTCCCTGGTGGCTCAGACAGAAAAGAATCCATCTGCCGTATAGGAGACCCGGCTTCGATCCTGGGGGTGGGAAGATCCCCTGGAGAAGGGAATGGCTACCCACTCCAGTACTCTTGCCTGGAGAATTCCATGGACAGAGGAGCCAGGTGGGCCACAGTCCATGGGATCGCAGAGTCAGACATGACTGAGTAACTTTCACTTTGGAATAATTTTGGGTTAACAGAAAGGTTGCAAAGATGATAAGGCATTTCGGTTTCCTCCTCACCCAGCTCCCCTTCATGGTATTAATAACATCTCTCATGACCACAGGACGTTTGTGAAAACTGAGACACCATCGGTGGTTCATTGAGGTTCATTAAACCCACACTCTGGATTTCACTGGTGTTTACACGCGTGTTCTTTTCTGTTCCAGAATCCCATCTGAGACACTCACGACAGTTAATCGTCCTGTCTCCTTAGCCTCTTCTGACCTGTGACCGTTTCTCAGACCTGCCTTGTTCTTTATGACCTCAGCGGTGTTGAGGGCACAGGGCAGGTATTTTGTGGAACGTCCTTCTGTTTGGACTTGTCCGGGGGCCTCTTTGTGATGCCTTCCTCTCTGTCTGCTGCGCAGAGTGGTCCCCAAGGCCACGGCCTTCTCCTCTGCCCTGGACTCTCCCCGCCTCTCTTGCGCTGATGCCACCTGTCCATGGTGAAGACCGCCTCTGCCCTCCTGTGCCCCAAACCCGGCTTTTCCTGCCCTCAGTCAGCGGCTTATCTGCTCAGTTGCCTGCTTGGAGTTCAAGTGCCACCCAGATGCCTCCTTGCTCGAGTTCTATCAATATCCTGCCTCCCCTCCACTTTCCACCCATACCCTCTATCAGCCATCCTTGTTCCTGGATTAAGGCAAAGCCTCCTGCCCTCACCTGCCTCCAGCCTTGCCCCTGCAACTTGCCTCCTCACTGCAGCTTTGGCCAACTTTCTGAAACATGTCTGGCCATTCTGCTTAGATGCACCCCATTGTCCTGGGAGAAGTCAGACTCCTCCATAGGGATTCTTAGGTTTTCGTGTCCTAGTCTTTGCCCCTTTCTCTAGCATCATCTCTGGCCTTTCTCCACCCTGTCGTCCCTGCTTCAGCCAAGTAGAGATACAGTACCCCTGCCGCGCCCCAGGGCAGCTTACTCTGCCCTTCTCTACCCCTCTGCATGGACTGTGCCGTCTTTGTCTGTTTCCTGCCATTAGAATGTGAACTTCATGAGGATAGAGATCTTATTGGGCTTGTTCTCCACTTCCCTACAGTACCTTGGACAGTGCCTGGCACATAGTAGGTGCTTGATGGTGGTGGCAAGATGGGGTGGGGGGCAAGATGGGTGGCAAGATGGGTGATGGGGGTGGGTTGCCATTTCCTTCTCCAGGAGATTTTCCCGACCCAGGGATCAAACCTGCATCTCTTGCGTCTCCTGCGTTGTAGGCAGATTATTTACCACTGAGCCACCAAGGAAGCCCAGGTGCTTGATAAATACTTATTAACCAAGGTGAGAAGAGCATGGGGTAAGAAAGTTATTTATCAGATAATCTCAGATAAGCATGAAAGTGCGGCAGTGACAAATGCTGTGGAGGCAGGGTTCATGGTGCTGCACATGCCTGTATTAGGGGCCTGGACTTGTGGAGGTCAGAGAGATAATGACGCTGTCCGTGCAGTCTGAGGAGAGGTGCTGTAGCTAGGAGGGGAGAGAAGAGCATTCTAGGTACAGGGCATGTGCAGAGGCCCGGTGGGTGAAGGGAATATGAAGGACTGGAAAGAAAAGCAGAGTTAGTGGGGCCCAGCCAGGGTAGGGAGAGCAAGGGAACATTGTGACGTGAGGCCGAACAGGGCGGCAGGGCCAGAGCTTGGGGTGGGGTGCTTATCATTTTTAGCTTCATCCTCAGAGCCATATGAGGCCACTGAATGGGTGTATGAGAGAGAGAGAGAAGGAGGGGGAGAAGACAGGGAGAAAGAACCATGATCGTGTCTAGGCTCCGTGACTTTGGACAGGTCATCTAGTCTGCCTGAGTGTCAGTCTCCTTGTCTATAAAACTGGGGACAGAACCACCTACTTTAGAGGGTCGTTGGGGGGATCAAATGAAATAAACGTAAAGCACTTGGTCCCATTTTGGTGCATGGTTGGGGGCCTGGTAAATGTCCCATTTCTTCCCTTCCCTTTGTCCCCCCACCACCAGCAGCTGCAGACTGTGAAAGAGACGTTAACGAGCCCTGTTCACAGCTCAGCTGAGCTCTCTGCTCAAGGCCCTTCCCCTTGACCTGCCATCTCAGCCTCTGCCCAGCAGGGAGGGAGGCGATGCCCATCTGTCCCTTCCATCCCAGGCCCACCTCCTGCTCTGACCAGCCAGGCACTAGGATCCCCATGGCCTGCCTCTCCCTGGGCTCCGCAGGGACCAGCGAGCGACAGGAAAGCCAGCCGACGTGTTCAGCTCGCTCTGGGGCTCACGAGTTTGAGTGCAGAAGGGCTGTCCTGGTGACCCAGGAGCCCACCCAGGCCCGCCCACTGCTCGCAGAGCACCGCCTGCCCCGCTTTGTGGCCACCGTCTCTCAAGTTCCCTTCTGTACGCGCTTTGCACTCATCACCCTGTTGAAGCCACATCCATGCAGGACATGAATCAGTGTCTGCTTTTCACAGATGAGGAAACTGAGGCCCAGGGAGGTGACATGATATTCCCAGGCTCTCATTGCTTGTTGGTGGCGGGTCCACCTGACCTGGAGACCCAGTGCCCTGCTTTGCCTCCTGTTGGACTTGGAGGCTAAGAACCCTGGGAGGAGCCTTTGAGGTTACAGCCAGTGCCTCTGAATGCAGCCAGTCTTGGCATATGGAGAGAGGCAGTTTTTATTATTTTGCAAGATTGTCCCACATATAGCAGAAAGTGAACAACTCTGGCCCCTAGGCTTAAAGGTGAGTCCTCCCCAGTCATTTGACAACCAAAAATGCTCCCACATATATCCAAAAACTCCTTAGAGGGGTAGAACTGCCCCCAAATTGAGACCTGCTGATAATTGAGTAGTACTAACATTATTGAGGACCTGCTGCTGCTTCTGTGTAGTCGCTTCAGTCATGTCTGACTATGCGACCCTATGGACGGCAGCCCATCAGTGTCACACAGTAGGTGGGCATCGGGGCTGAGTTTGAACTCAGGACTGGCAGAGCAGCGCTCTTTTCACTCCATCTGATGCTCAGAAGGACAAGATGAGCCTCGCTGACTGGAGCTAGCCAGAGAAGCCACTGGCCCATGGTCAGAGGAGGAATTCCACCTCTGTAGCCTGATGCCTGGGGTCTACTGCTGTTGCCTCCACCCAGACACCTTTGCTGTGTTTGTCCTCATCCCGTTTCTCTCCCTCCATCACCCCGAACCTTGTGCCCTTGGACCGGGCCCATCAAGCCCCTCCTCTTGCCTCAGTCTTTCTCCTCGTCCTTGGAATTACCCTAATCTTTCACGGAGTGGGACATTTTAGAGGATCAGGTGGCAAAACTTGTATGAAGAAAGTCCTGGTTTGGTGCCAGGTGGGTCCTGTGGGTTCAGGAAATGTTTGCTAACTCTGACCTCCATTGTCTTGTCCGACTCCATCCTCTGACTGTCCCTCTGTCTGTCCCTCTTCCTCTCCTCTTCATCTCCGACTTTTTCGGTCCTCACCTGGCTGGGTATGGAGGCCAGCTTCTGAAGCTCAGTGCCAAGCTGGCCCCACCTCCCTGTCTCCTATGCCAGTGGTTGGTACTGTTGTCTTTGCCACAGGGCGGGGGGCCTTGGGCTGGAGCACATGGGAGGAGGGGGCCCTGGCATGGTCCCAGCGTGTGCCCTCAGCCTGCCCTTTGCACTGACCAGGTGAGAAGGGCTGACTGGTCTCCTGCCCTCAGAGCACCCCTGGCATTTCCATGGCAGCTGTATAGCCAGGCCCTTGGCTCCTGCTGGGCAGAGTCACCTGGTGCCCCCCAGGTGCCCACAGTTCCTGGAAGGTCAGCCTCTGTTTGGAGGCTAGAGGTGGGCAACACTCACCTGCCCTGAATTCTTAGAGAGGGGAGCAGCACGTGGCTCAGGTGGGGTGTGGGGTCTTCTGGATTCATCTGACATACCCCTGTCCCCAGTCCATCTGACTGGGCAGCTGCCCGTGACTTCTCTCTGAGCTTTGGTTTTCTTATCTATAAGATGGGGATGTAATGCTTATCGCAGAAATCGTCCCAGCTGCCTGCATGAGCCTGGGGGTGGCGGGGTGGGGGGACACTTTGGTCAACGAGCCTGGAGAAGCTGTCCTGGGACAGAGCTGGAGGGAGGCGGGAGCAGACCAACAGGACACGGCTCTGTTTCATTAGGACTTGGGAGTCAGATGGATCTGCGCTTTTCTTCTCCAAGCCTCCGTTTATCCTCCCTAAAGTGAAGATAGTTCTTCCTGTATGACAGGATTGCTGGGAGCATGGAATAAGATGTATGTGGCATGCCAAATGTGGCGCCTGGCCCAGTATACAAGAGGTACTCATTAGGCGTTGATTTCATTTAAGGGCACTGGCTGGTCGCAGCCCCAAGGAGGGGTGTTTCCTGTGGTCAGCCCTGCCTGCACAGACCTAGGTCCTCCACAGACCCCATTCCTGGGCAGGGCTGCTGGGCGCCCCCAGGACGTGCCCCGCCATGGGGAATTCCTCCTGCGTTATTCACACAGACTTCCCCAGGAAGGCCGAGCCCCTCTCTGTAAACGTCCCCTGCCGCCCCGTTATCTGGCTTTCCCTGAAGGCCTTTGTCGATTTCTGGTTTGTGTTAGGTTGTTTGTGTCCCGTCTTATCTCCCCCAGGAGACAGGGGCAGCCAGCTGAGTCACAGTGACCTGCGTGTGAGTCCCCAGCTCTGCCACCGATCAGCTGTGGGGTGCTGGGCAAGTGCCTTCACTTCTTGGAACTTCGGTTTTCTCTTCTGTAGAAATGGGGATAATAAAACCTCCAGCACAGAGTGGTCGTGAAGATTACATGAAAAGGCTGCATGGTGCCTGGCGCGGGGCAGAGGATGAGTCAGAGAAAGCCTGTCCCCACCCCCTTTTCCAAACCAGCAGCAGCGGGATCCTACACGCTCTGACCCAGGGGCCAGGGAAGAACCTCACAGTATAATCAAGTCACCCACCACCTGGGCAATGGGCAGAGGCAGCTGCACAGCCTCCGTCTGCTGGAAGTTCCCAGGACCTCATGGCCGAGAGGAAGCTGGGACCTCAGGAAGTCTCCCCAGAAGGAAGAGTGGAAGAGGAGACACAGATGAGACCCCTGCAGGGATGTGGGCAGGCATGGAGGTTAAGAGCACAGACTCTGGGTCAAGCACTCACTTCTTCCACTTAATGAGGGCTGTGTGATCCCAGATAAGTGAACTGACCTCTCTGGGCCTCAGCACTCAACCTGGGAACCAGGGTACAACGATGCACCCCATCTCCTGGGCTAGCTGTGTGAAGGTGCTTGCATGAAAAGTGCTTGGCACTGTTTGGTCAAGATTTCCTGGTATTTATTTTTAAGAAGTGCTCTCTAGGACCTACCGAGTGCTTCACCAAACTCCTCAATTTCCCCTAAAACAATTACCCGTGAAGTTTTGTTGTTGTTGTTTAATTTTACGAGTTTATTTTTCCAGTACCTTCCAGGAGCCAGGCACTGTGCTTCATGCCTTCATCATTTTAACTCACATAATCCTTTTTTTTTAAGTTGTATTTTTTTGTGTGTGATGTGGACCATTTTTAAAGTTTTTGTTGAATTTGTTACCATATTGCTTCTGTTTTATGTTTTGATTTTTTGGCCTCAAGGCCTGTAGGATCTTCACTTCCCCACCAGGGATCTAACCCACACCTCCCGCATTGGAAGCAAAGTCTTAGCCACTGGACCACCAGGGAAGTCTCTGCCCCCATGTAATCTTCATTGTCATCTCTTGTCCCCATTTTGTAGATGAGGAAACTGAGCCTGAGAAACTGGGCCACCTGTCCCAGTCCACATGGCCCTTGACTCCCAGAGTCCAGCCCTGTCTCACTTTGCCCCTTTTCTGGGGATCGTTATGGAACGGCTTGGGAATGTCTTGCCAGGTATCAGCTGGATACAGCAAACCCCAAACACAATCTGTGCGGAGAATCTGTAAACAGAGGATCCGGAGTGGGGTGGAGGCAGCCAGGAGAGTGAAAGCCAGCTGGGAAGGGAGCTGGAGGCAGGAGCCTGAGACCGCGTGTGTTTATTCAGCCTGTTCCAGGCAGGCAGGGGGCCCAGGCGGCCAGTGTAAACATCCGGCCTGCCTGTCGCCTGCTGGGGGGAGGCTGAGGCAGCCAGGAACCAGCAACCGGGGCCTCCTGGTGGCAGCTCGGAGGGGTACCTTGTAGACGACGGGACGCCACTCGGTGTTGGGCGCCTAGTACGTGTCATGTCACTTACACACAGCATCTTATCACATCTTTTACAGTAGCCCTTTTTGGTCTCTTTTATTATTTTTACCTTGCTGATGAGGAAACAGCCCTGGGAATGGTACAGCCCTCAGCTGTCAAAAGCCCACAAAAGTTGGTTTGCTGAGTGGGTGAGTTTGTCAAAGAGCAGCTTAGACAATATTCCTTTGCTTCCACTTCTGCTGGTGCCACTCTTCCTGGACAAACTCAGCTGGGACCCTCATTCCCTTTCTGTCCTGCTGGGGCGTGCCATCTGGGAGCTGTACTCCTTGCTGTAAATCGCCTCCCCCGATTTAGTGCTTCTTAGCCCATCACCGCCTGCGGGACTGGCCGGGCTGAGGAAGGCCGGCTCGGGGTTGCTGCCCCTTTCTTAACCAGGGAAGGGAATCTGGCTGGCGCTGGTTTTGCAGCCTTGCGGAGTGAGTCTGATGGATCGATAAGACCTTAGGTGTCATTCCCGCCCATTTAGCAGATGGAGAAACAGAAGCCCAGAGAGGAGAAATGTTTGTGCCAAAGACTCGCCGTGAATGGCCAAGGCAGAACCGGTGTCCAGGTCTCCAGGGAGGACACCTCTAGTCCCTGTTAATGGGGGTGGGGGTAGGGCAGGGTTAGGAAAGGACAGGGATGGGGTAAGTGTGTTCCTGGTGCGTCATGATCAGAAATCGGATTTCACGGCCACCCCACTCCCTTCTGCCCTCTCCAAGCCTTGCCCCAGAGATGCCCTTGGACTCTGGGAAACTCGGGTAAATTCCTGTTTGTGCCAGCGGGTTCGTCTCACTTGGTTCCAGTGGCTGAAAGCCCATACAGGGGCCCTGCTCCCCCACCTGCTGCCCCTTTCTGCCCCAGGTCTTGTCCTGCTCCATCCCCACACACTCCCACTACCCCCACCACCACCCTCCTCTCCCCCACCCAGATTCATCTTGGAGTCCAACAGAACGACCACTTGCATTGTGCCAAAGCTGGGAGGAATCATTTAAATATTGACTTGGCCAAAAGGGTCGTTCGGGTTTTTCTGTAAATCTTGAATGACCCTTTTGGCCAACCCAACATAACAGCGTCCAGCGCCTGGGCACTGGATGCCCATGGGGCTCAGGCCTGACCAGAATTGTTTCTGCCCCCACCTCAGAGAGGGGGCTGGCAGTGACCCCAGTCAGAGGTTGAGGTCACACCTTTTGCCTGGATTTGAACCAGGAGCCACACACCCAAGGGTCCACACCCTCGG